GTGTGTGTGTGTGTCTTTGTTTACTCACCTATTTGTGGTTTTAGGGATCGATTCATAGCTCTTGGCCCCGTGCACTCACCTATTTGTGGTTGCATGGGTTGAATCATAGCTCCTTGCCCCGCCTCTTCACTGATCGCTACTAGGTCCTCTGTCTACTTGCTCCAAGAGCTTTATCAAACCTCGTCATAAAACCATGTATGGTTCCTGCTTCCACTACTTCACTTGCCAGACTATTCCTCTTCCTGACAACTCAGTGACTAAAGAAATACTTCCTAACATCCCTTTGACACATATGAGTCTTCAACTTCCAATTGTGACCCTTTGTTTCTGTGTCCCATCTCTGGAACATCCTGTCTCTGTCCACCTAGTTAATTCCTCTCAGTATTTTTTTTATGTCGTTATCATGTCTCCCCTGACTCTTCTGTCCTCCAGTGTCTTCAGGCCGATTTCCCTTAACATTTCTTCGTAGGACATTCCCCTTAGCTCTGGAACTAGTCTTGTTGCAAACCTTTGCACTTTCTCTAATTTCTTGACATGCTTCACCAAGTGTGGGTTCCAAAATGGTGCTGCATACTCCAGTATGGGCCTGACGTACACGATCAGAACGCTATTTCCAGGTTTGCCAGGCGCTCATATGCTGAAGCAGTTATCTGGTTGATGTACGCCTCAGGAAATGTGCTCGGTATTATACTCACCACATGATGCTTTTCCTTGAGTGAGGTTTGCAGTCTTTAGCCATCTAGCCAATACTCTGTCTGCGGTGTTCTTTGCCCTTCCCTGAACTTCATGACTTTGCATTTGGCGGGGTTAAATTCGAGGAGCAAGTTGCTGGACCAGGTTTCCAGCCTGTCCAGGTCTCTTTGTAGTCCTGCCTGATCTTCATCCGATTTAATTCTCCTTATTAATTTCACATCATTTGCAACCAAGGACAATTCTAAGTCTCGTGTCTTACTTCTATTACCTTGTCATCGGGAGGGACAAAGGAGTCGAACTTAAGCTCCTGGACCCAGTATCGCACTTAGTGTATTCTGGCGTGCTATCGGGAGGACAAGGGAGTCAAACTCAAGCTCCTGGACCCATCATCGCTCCAATGTGTGTATTCTGACGTGCTATCAGGAGGCCAATGTAATCAAACTCCAGTTCCTGGACCCAGCATCGCACCAATGTGTGCATTCTGACGTGCTTTCGGGGGGCAAGGGAGTCGAACTCCGGTTCCAGGACTCAGCATCGCACCAATGCACTTTACGAAGGGAGCATTCTGGGCAGTCTCATATTTTTTAAGTGTAAGATGATCTACGGACTCTACGCTAGCGCTACAGTCTCCATTGTAACGTTACACTTTTAACACACATGGAAGACTAAGTCACAGTACCCTGACTTTGTAAGAGTCAATACAGTGGCTGGATAAGAGCAACAGTACCGTGGCTGGATAAGAGTCACAATACTGTGGCTGGAAAAGAGTCACACTACCGTGGCTGGATAAGAGTCGATAAGAGTCACAATCCCTGGCTGGATAAGAGTCACAATACCATGGCTGGAACAATTCACAACTAGCCCACATTTAAGAGGAAAAAAAAACATGCCCAGCCATTATGTTGCATATTTTCTGTGGGTCTTTCAATTCCATTTTCGACATAAGCTTCGAACCACTGGCAAACATCATGCAGGATTCGATCTCTCTTGGCAAATATAATAATAAATAATAATAATAATAATAATAATAATAATAATAATAATAATAATAATAATAATAATAATAATAATAAGAAGAAGAAGAAGAAGAAGAAGAATATCTTTATTTACCACAAAGACAAGGTATACAGGCCTAGCTGACATCAATGACATACTACTATATAGAAAGCCCCTTGTTATACCTGGAGAGAGTTCCGGGGGTCAACGCCCCCGCGGCCCGGTCTGTGACCAGGCCTCATGGTGGATCAGGGCCTGATCAACCAGGCTGAGCATTTCGGGCAAATTAGGTCAGTTTTGTCCCAAGATGCGACCCACACCAGTCGACTAACACCCAGATACCCATTTTACTGATGGGAAACATAGACAACAGGTGCAAAGAAACACGCCCAATGCTTCTACCCTGGCTGGGAATCGAACCCATACCCTCGCCGTGTGAAACGAGAGCTTCAGCCACCAGAACCCTAATCGTTGACATATATCACACGGCAATTCACTGGGGCCTTGGGAAACCCCGCCTAATTATTTTCCTTGGTTTTACTGTATTCTTGGCTTTTGTTTACTAGTGTAAACAAAATTAAGTTTTTCTGTCTATTATTTATTACTTTAACGTCTTCTCACTGTTTATCAGTTTCTCATATTTCTAGAGGTACTTTTGTTTTTTTAACTTAGGTTACAAGTTGTAAATTTCCTGTATATATGGCACTGTATTAGAGGTGATGTAAACATTGGTTAAGGTAAATAACATAATACTGTAAAACATTTAACCATAAATAACTTAAACAAATAAACTTGAAACGTCTGGCAACGCGATGACTAATTAAAAGCAACGTTCAAATCTTCACTAATAATAATAATAATAATAATAATAATAATAATAATAATAATAATAATAATAATAATAATAATAATAATAATAATAATAATAATAATAATAATATAATAATAATAAAATAATAATAATAATAATAATAATAATAATAATAATAATAATAATAATAATAAATAATAAAATAATAATAATAATAATAATAATAATAATAATAATAATAATAATATAATAATAATAATATAATCTTTATTTCTACAGGTACATGTACAAGGTATACAGACCATAGCTGACATCAGTGACATAATACTATATAGAAAGCCCCTTGTTATGCAGAGTATTTCTGGCAAATTAGGTTAATTTTGTCCCCATGATGCGACCCACACCAGTCGACTAACACCCAGGTGCCTATTTACTGCTAGGCAAATAGGGACAGCAGGTGTGTGAGGGAACCACGTCCTAATGTTTCCACCAGTACCAGGGATCGTACCGCGGACCTCAACGTGAGAGCTGAGTGCGCTACCAACCGAGCTACAGGAAACAGTAAATAAAACATCTGTGTATTACAGGAGCAGTAGTTTAATCAAAAAGAAACAATTCTTTAAATATATGCATAAATGGGAATAGCTGGGTGTGTGTAGTCTCTGCCTATCACGAACCAGTATGACTACTGCAATTCTCGTCTATTCTTGAACTGATCCTCATACCAACAATGTTAAGTAATACAGGAGCAAGGCTTATGTAAATTTCATAGAATGTGTATAAGGCACTTGTGAAAATTCAGAATATTTTGTTAAAAAAAGTCTTGTTCCTGCAAGCATTGTATAGCCAGTGACTGAAACAGTACTTGAGAAGATGTTGTATTACAGTAGCATCCAGCTATTCCCATTTATGTATATATTTAAAGAATTCTTAAAGCTACCCCATTATGACACCTTCGTTCTCTCATCCACAGCTCTACTGTCAGTCAGTGCTTTCTGGGCTGATTTCTAAATCTAAATTCCTCTATTGAAGTAAGAACGGGGAGAAAGAAGTGAGGGATGGGTTAGAGAGTGAGAGAAGGGATGGAGAGAGTGAGGAGGTAAAGGCAAGGGAAGGAACGGAACGTGCTTGTTGAGATTAGTTATGACTGGTGAACTGGATAATTGCATTTAAAAGAAGAGGTTACAGCCTCCGCTGGTTGAAACGAAGGTGCGGCCACCAAGGAGCACCAGGAGTGGAGACAAGATACACGTGCCAGAGCAAGAATTTATTGGGACAACATTTGGCTCCTAGCAGAACCTTGTCAATTGATAAAGATCTACCCAGAGTGAATTTGTTGTGGAGATTCATAGCTCATGTGTGAGAATTTTCATCTGTGCTGCCTCCTGGGATTATCTCCGCTATTTTTTGTCATATTCTTCTGTTTCAGATGTGGTAGTGGTTGTAGTGGTGGTAATAGTGGTGGTATTAGTGGTAGTAGTAGTAGTAGTGGTATTGTAGTGATGGTGGTAGTGAGCCATAGACAAAGTGGCTGCCAAAACAGCCTCTTGAGTGCGGACTTATCAACACTCCCTTCTCTCCTCGCCTGTGAGGGGAAATATAATGACTAGTTTTTCCCCTAAGTCAGGAAAACTGCCCAACACTCTTCCTACTTTGTATTGCCCATATAATTAATAATTTTAACTAACAATAATAATATCAATAATAATAATAAACTTTATTCCTACATGATGGAACTTATATGGAAATAGATGACATCAACGACATGCTATATAGAAAGCCCCTTTTTATACAGAGCATTTCGGGCAAATTAAGTTGTTTTGTTTCCAGGATGCGACCTACACCATTCGGTTAACACCCTGTTACCTATTTACTGCTAGGTGAACAGGGACAGCAAGTGTCTTAACGAAACGCCCACTGTTTCCACCCGTACTGGGAATCGAGCCGCGGACTTTAATGTGTGAACCGAGTGCGTTATCAACTTAACTATGGGACATCCACACAAGCACATGCTGGCTCTGGAAGCTAAAACATTATGAAGACTTCAAAAGTAACTCACAATTGGATAGAGACAATTGCTACCTGTTAACAGTATTGAAATAAATAACACGCCTACAGTGAAGGCCTTTTATTTGTGCAACGTTATGAACAATATCGGGCTTTATGAAGTATTGTATGAAACCTAATGTCTGGTAAAATAAATATACGAAGGGATTCAGTGCAGTCGGTCCTTTTTTTTTAACTCACAACTTAGGGAAGACAGATTGTAAGACCTTGCAGTCTGTCTTAGATCACTGTTAACTTCCCACTTGATAACAGTCCAGAATGGACCAATGGTGTACATTGTCCAAAGATTTACTTCCATATAGTTTCAGCTATGGCCCCTGGAGCGAAATGGTTCTGATAAACAAGTCCTAAGTACCTGCATTTTGTGGCTTTTCCCACTAATTACTGCATTATGTGCCTTTGTATCCATTATGAGTGTTATTCTTCCCTTCAGAACACTGGGTCGCGATGGCGGCGGCGTTCCTGCTAGGGGCGGTGCTGGTACTGGCTGCTTCCACTACAGCAGAAGTGATAGACCTCTCTTATACCTACAATGTTGACGCCCCCACCTCCCCACAGCTGTCCCCCTTCACCCACACGATAATCAAAAAAGGACTCAATAAGCTCAATATTTGGTGAGGATTCTTGTCGCTCTCTTGAAATAAAATGTTCTAATCAAATCCTGATTTAGAGTATTTATTAAAAAATCGTTACATGTGAATGTTTTATTACTGATAGTAGCCTTTAATTATATATATTATATATATATATATATATATATATATATATATATATATATATATATATATATATATATATATATATATATATATATATATATATAAAGCCAGCATTTAAAATATCATTTATTGTATTTATTCAACATCGTAAACTCATTCGACATCAGGGTAGAGCTGAATGATTTCTGCAGTTCGGAGCATTCCGGAACCCACATCGACGCTCCTGTCCACTACTCCCAACATGGCTGGACTGTTGATGCTGTTCCCATCGCTAGGCTCTGGAGAGTTCCAGGTGAGTCTGTGGCACGCCAGGCTGTGTACAGTCTGAAGTGTGTCTGTGGCTTCCTGCTGTTATCTCTGCTACAACATTATTTGCTATATTCCTCCATTTTAGGTGCCTTATGTTGAAATCTCCCAGGAGCAAAATGTTGGGGGCAGGAGCTGGAAGATTTTCCAGACAGTGGTCAATTTTCAAAAGCTGTTCCTGGAATTGTTGGGACGTCGCATCCGGAGGCTTGTATACAACCAAAATGGCCAGGTTTTGGTTCTCGATCTTTACTGCTAAAACATTGAGGCATTTCGTAGTTCTGAGCATGTAAGTGACTGTGATATACAGGCCAACCCCCTTCCCCTTTTACCTGTTCAGTCTGTCACATCAGTATAGGTTGTAACCCGGGATCCACATTACGTTGTCCAAGTGATCGTTTATGTTGGTCTCTGTGAAAACCCCGAACATTGCATTTGACTCCATAAGCTGTCCACGGATGAAAGGTATTTTGTTATCCGTTGTGGCTTTAGACCCTGTATATTTGCAAAGATGAATGTCGTCGGATTGGTGGTATGGGAGGGATCTTTATTTCCTGGCACTAATATCTGTTGTTTTGGAGTTTTGGAGTCTTTAAAGAGTCTCTTTACATTTGCTGCTCCTGCTCACCTAGCAGCAAAATAGGCATCTATCACTCAGATATGATGTAAATGGCTTAGGAAACCGACAGATGTTACTCAAGTTTCTCATTCTTGTCACTCAGATGTTGTGAGTCACTTCCTAGGCCGATGAAGTGTATCAGTGGAAATGTATCTCACTTTGCGGCTATGTTCTGTTATCCAGGGCTAAAAACTATTGTGCTATACTTCCCTGAATTGGGCCTGAATGCCTTCCAAGTCCCCCCCCCATCCTCCACAGGCGCTGTATAATCCCTACGCGTTTAGCGCTCCCCATGACATTTTTTTTATTTCATTAACACATTGGCCGTCTCCCACAAAGGCAGGGTGGCACAACAAAGAAAAACTTTCATTATCATTCACTCCATCACTGTCGTGCCAGAGGCGTTCTTACACTACAGTTATAAAACTGCAACATTAAAATCTCTCCTTATTATCATTATTATTAATTCATTAGTAGACTGACTCGCTTGACGCCTCAAAGTGTCTGTCGCGTGTATCCATTGGTACACAGATAACCCGCACATAGAAGAGAGGAGCTTACGACGACGTTTCGGTCCGACTTGGACCATTTACAAAGTCACACTAACAGAAAGGATTCATTAGAGAGATTCGCCGGTACTTCCGGCCCGGGTCTTTTCCATATGGCGACAACAGAAGGAGAGCAGGATGGGTGTATATAGGCAGGAGGTGGTAGTAGTAGTAGTAGTGTATTAGGGAGGACTCCACCAGATGGCGACTGGTCTGGTTGAATCCTCCCTAATACACAACTTTCCTTGTATGAATCTTAGTCGTGGCTTCGTCTCTGTAGATGCCTTCCTCTCCCACTACATTGTAAAATGTTCCAAACTTCAGAACACTCGTGACCTAACCTGGTTCCTCCTTTTTCCTTCTCCCTCTTCCCCTTTCCTCTTTCCTGTTTCTCCTTTGGGTTGTCTTTCTTCTGTCCTGTGTATTTGTTCCTTCTTTATTTATTTATTTATTTGTTCCCCTCCCCCTCGGTGTTTTTGCTCTTACCCTCTGTGGGCACCAGCTCCCTTGCAGTGCTCCTGTTTTAGTATATGACTGGCTCCTCCTACTCTTACTACCTCCCCACTACTACTTCCTTCCCTCCACCACTATCACTACTACTACTACTACTGCCACCTCCTGCCTATATATACCCATCCTGCTCTCCTTTTTGTTAGTGTGACTTTGTAAATGGTCCAAGTCGGACCGAAACGCCGTCGTAAGCTCCTCTCTTCTATCTGTGGGTTATTTGTGTATTGTTCCAGTCACGGTATTGTGCCTTTTTTTTTTATCCATTGGTTATAAGGTTGGAAGACTGCAACGACCCTGAGAGGTACTGCCCTATATGAGTGTGATACCCCCATTATATGTCTTGTTTCAGAAAAATTTGAAACCGATCAGATGAGTCATTCTCCAGTTAGGGCACAAATTCCAACGGTTCCAAGCTTTTCTTTTTACTATTTTATTGCATCAACAAATTCGCCTACACGTCAACAAAACTTAACGAGTACTGTCCTGACCTATAGATGCATCAGCCTTTAAATAATGAAATCATTCAGAACATGTAAACTGAAAATTATTTTACGTGATTGAAAGAGAATAAAAAAATCATTCTATTTTACATATAAAATTGTTAAATTTGCACCAGCATTGTATTACACTCTCCACCGTCGTCGAATTAGAAGCATCATTTTGATGCCTGAAGCTCCACCACTGAGAGTTCTGAATGTTATCCCAGTCATTCCAGGATGCTGGGAAGGGGTTCAACAGCTTTGGTCAGAGGGCAACAGCACATGTCACTAGTTCCGGGAATCTGGTCCTTGTTACCGAACACGAACACTGAAAATTTGAAGCCGATTGGATGAGACGTTGTCATCCAATAGGCGAAATATAATCGAGAAGTTAGAGGAAGGAAAACGAAGAAAAAAATAGATAACTTCCTAAAGGTTCCCTTTCAGTCAGGTTAGGTTAGGTTAGGTTAGGTAAGGTTTGTCAGGAAACACCACAAGTGTTTCCTGATGTGGGGTCTTAGTTATATGATGACCCGCTTTTGGTCATCTGACCGACGCCTTCTGTTTGCTTACCGGTCCACCTCTTTAAAAATTATAGTTATGATTATAATTATTTCATAAATATCTTTGTTGTGCATAAGTGTCTAATACCCACAGATAACAAATGTGTGTTTGCAGCTGTGGTTGTTGACGTGTCCAAAGAAATCACACAAACACAAGACAAGAACTACGAGGTGAAGGTGAGGGACTTGGAACAGTGGGAGGAAGTCCACGGCACCATACCTGACGGCGCGCTCGTCCTCTTCCGTACTGGCTGGGCCACTAAAGTCAAGAATATAAGGGAATATGCTGGTCTTGATCAACAGAACAATCGGAATTTTCCAGGTAAGTTTATAAGAGGCCGATTGGCCCATACCAGGTAGGTCTTTCTCAAACCCAAACCCACGTAACAAAATCATTTGCCCATCCCATTTTCAAAGCTACCAAAGGAACAAGCTACGACAACCCTACCAACTCATGTGCAAATCCCACTCAAATTCAACCCCTCTCACCTACGGGGCAAATCAATCAGATCAATTTTATTAAAACCAAAAAAAAAAAAAAAACGAGAATCATTGCACAACTTCCTTTCTCCTTTCCCATTGTATAATTTGCAACAGTTCACCCATATATATTTTTTTCTTCTTCCCCTCCCTCCCTTCCCTCTCCTCCATCCCTCACCTCTCCCTCCCCTCCCCTCTCCCCAGAAACCTAACAAAAATATATTAAAAATAATTTTGCAATGTCTTCTGCAAAATATAATTCATGAAGACACACACTGAAGAACAAACTTTTACTGGGAATACATTACACTCTGTCAAGAGTGTGGAGTTTTGAGACTCTCTGATCGCGGGTTCTATCCCCGCCCGTGGTATGGTTTGTTTAATCTGTCAAGAGCTTTATTAATTCAGAGAGAAAACGTTTACCAACGTTTTTATCAGCGTGGGTCTTTCCTGTCTCCTGTCAGCGGTACGTCATTTGGATTCACTACAGAAGCTTTTCATAGTAATAAATAATAATAATAATAATAATAATAATAATAATAATAATAATAATAATAATATTACTACTGATACTACTACCACCACTGATACTACTACTACTACTAATAATAATAACAATAATACTGCTGCTGTTACTGCTGCTACTATTACTACTACTACTAATAATAATAATATTGCTGCTACTACTACTACTACTACTACCACCACAACTACTATTACCACTACCACTAACACTACTACTATTACTATTACTACTACTACTACTACTACTGCTACTACTATTACTACTACTACTACTACTACTACTACTACTACTGCTACTACTACTACGACTACTACTACTACTACTATAATAATAATAATAATAAAAATAATAATATCATCCTTTCCAGGTGTAGGTAAGGGCGCGGCAGAGTGGTTAGTAAAACACAAGAGCAGACACAGCTACGAGACAGGTGTTGTGGGTGTGGGCATCGACACACTCTGCCTGGACAAGGGTAGCACTGTCAGGCTTCCAGCTCATGTGACATTCTTCCAGAATAACATCTACGGTCTCGAGAATTTGGCCAACCTTGATAAGGTGATATCATGCTGTTCTATTAGTTACCATTTTGCCATAGGCAATGTCGATTAGACAGTTGAACTGTTGTTGCTGTTGTTGTGTGCGCGAGTGTGTGTGTACTCACCTAGTTGTGGTTTGAGAGGTCGAGCCACAGCTCCTGGCACCCGCCTCTTCACTGGTCGCTACTAGGTTACTCTTCCTGCTCCATGAGCTTTATCATACCTCTTCTTACAGCTATGTATGGATCCTGCCTCCACTACTTCACTTCATAGACCATTCCACTTTCTGACAACTCTGTGACTGAAGAAATACTTCCTAACAGCCCTGTGATTCATCTGAGTCCAACTTCCAATTGTGACCCCTTCTTGTTGTGTCCCGTCTCTGGAACATCCTGTCTCTGCCCACCTTGTCGATCCCTCTCAGTATTTTATATGTCGTTATCATATTCCCCCTATTTCTCGTGTCCTCCAGTGTCCTCGTAGGACATCCCTTAGCTCCGGGACTAGTCTTGTTAAGAATAGGCTTGACTACTTCAGTGAAGCCAGTATGTAGCTGAAATACGGGGTCCAGGAGCCGATACTCAGCCTCTTCAAAAAAACAGATGAGCTTAAACAAATATGTTGTTAAGATATGTCAAATGTTTATCAATCGCATCTGTGTCTCTCCGCAGCTACCGGAAACTGGTTCTTACGTGACGGTGATGCCTTTGAAGATAGGGGGAGGAAGCGGTTCTCCAGCCAGGATCGTCGCCGAAGTGGGGGAAATACCTCCTGGTGTCTCCAGAGCCTTCTCAACCCTACACACCACCTCCGTCCTGCCTCTTTTGGTGTCAGCGGCACTGATGGCTCGCTGGTTTCTCATTGAGTAGAATAGTAGTCACCGGGAGGAGAAGAATCCTCTTCATAATTTGCACGAATCCTGAAGTAGTAGAAGAAGGAGGAAAAGAAGAAGACATACTCCATTTTACTTCGTGAAAAAATTCACTTCTTATAAGCCAAACTCCGCAGTTCTTAAGTAACAGTTTGTTACAGGATGAGTCACAGTATCCTACCTTAACAGGTAGTCATCTAACTCAGATTGGGATGGACTACTTTTCGGTTTGTTCTAGGACCATTACCAAGTTATTTGCTATCTGTTAATAGTCTAAAGTGGACCCGTTTGCTGACCAGTTCGCGCTTCAGATTTGTGTGTTAGTACATTCTACTGTACTTGTGATCCGATATAAAGACTGGCTGCTAATACAAATTAGTGTAAATATATTTATTGGGAAGTGCTAAACCGTAAACCGTAAGGCAATGGGAAGCAATCAGGTTAGATCCAAGAAAGGGGATAAAATGTCCAACCATTACAGAGAAACTAAGAGCTGAGCAAGCTCGAGAAGAGTGAAACGTTGTCACTAAATGTGTTTGTATTACCTTCTGGGAGCTATGCCTTACATTTCTTTTACTTGAGGGAAGTAATTTAGTATTCCTCTATTCTAATTTTGCTCCATAGTCTAAACTAAACTTCTCCTCTCATTACGTCTGTTGATGGTTCGTCTGGTAAACATGGCGGTCTGGTAAATACCCTGTAAATAATACCTTCTGAGCATCACTGAAATACTGAAGTTTGTGTCATTGTTGCTGAAACAGGTTACTTAAAATGGCGTGGGCTTTAGATTTACTAAAAAAAAAAAAAGAATAAAAAAAAAGAAAGGTAGTAGCTTTTATATTTGCCTTTACGAAAGACTCAAAACACTATCATACATTTTCTGAAATAATTTCTTGTGATATTTCTCTCAAAATGCAATTAAACTTTTTATTGCTTACTCAGTAAAGACATATGTCAATCAGAAAATTTTTCGTGTTTCATTCTCCCAGTACATCACATTTTTTCCCTAACAATGTAGGAATAGATCAGGATTTTTTTATGTATATTACCACCTCCGGCCACGAGTGAGTGTAATGGTTCTTGTAAGACGATGCAATGCTTCATTTATGAGAGAAATAGGACGAAAACAAAGCATACATTGGTGATAAATTACGCTGATTGCAACCACGAACGAGTGGTATTTAATCAATAACAACACTGCGGCTAGCCGAGGACTCGAACCCATGTCGTTTTGGCCCGCCTCATGGTGAGCGGAAATCACACGACGCTCCCACCCACAGGATTGGGTACTATGCATAATAGTATGTCATAGATGTTAGCTAGGCCTGTATACCATGTACATGTACTTGTAGAAATGAAAGTTCATTATTATTATTATTATTATTATTATTATTATTATTGTTATTATCTACCATATTCTTGTCAGATCCATTCTTCTGACCGAATCTACCTGATCTTGCTACTCATTTTTGCAACATTGCAATCTCCTGAAGGTGTTATTACAACACATAAGGCCTAGAGCTATCATTCAACTCCCTTTGTGGTAATTTTGCATATTATATATATATATATTATATATTATTTTATATATATATATATATATTATATATATATAATATATATATATATTATATATTTTATATATATATATATATATATTTTATATATATATATATATATTATTATCACACTGGCCGATTCCCACCAAGGCAGGGTGGCCCGAAAAAGAAAAACTTTCACCATCATTCACTCCATCACTGTCTTGCCAGAAGGGTGCTTTACACTACAGTTTTTAAACTGCAACATTAACACCCCTCCTCCAGAGTGCAGGCACTGTACTTCCCATCTCCAGGACTCAAGTCCGGCCTGCCGGTTTCCCTGAACCCCTTCATAAATGTTACTTTGCTCACACTCCAACAGCACGTCAAGTATTTAAAAACCATTTGTCTCCATTCACTCCTATCAAACACCCTCACGCATGCCTGCTGGAAGTCCAAGCCCCTCGCACACAAAACCTCCTTTACCCCCTCCCTCCAACCTTTCCTAGGCCGACCCCTACCCGCCTTCCTTCCACTATAGACTGATACACTCTTGAAGTTATTCTGTTTCCCTCCATTCTCTCCACATGTCCGAACCACCTCAACAAACCCTTCCTCAGCCCTCTGGACAACAGTTTTGGTAATCCCGCACCTCCTCCTAACTTCCAAACTACGAATTCTCTGCATTATATTCACACCACACATTGCTCTCAGACATGACATCTCCACTGCCTCCAGCCTTCTCCTCGCTGCAACATTCATCACCCATGCTTCACACCCATATAAGAGCGCTGGTAAAACTATACTCTCATACATTCCCCTCTTTGCCTCCAAGGACAAAGTTCTTTGTCTCCACAGACTCCTAAGTGCACCACTCACCTTTTCCCCTCATCAATTCTATGATTCACCTCAGCTTTCATAGACCCATCAGCTGACACGTCCACTCCCAAATATCTGAATACATTCACCTCCTCCATACTCTCTCCCTCCAATCTGATATCCAATCTTTCATCACCTAATCTTTTTGTTATCCTCATAACCTTACTCTTTCCTGTATTCACTTTCAATTTTCTTCTTTTGCACACCCTACCAAATTCATCCACCAATCTCTGCAACTTCTCTTCAGAATCTCCCAAGAGCACAGTGTCATCAGCAAAGAGCAACTGTGACAACTCCCACTTTGTGTGTGATTCTTTATCTTTTAACTCCACGCCTCTTGCCAAGACCCTCGCATTTACTTCTCTTACAACCCCATCTATAAATATATTAAACAAACCACGGTGACATCACACATCCTTGTCTAAGGCCTACTTTTACTGGGAAAAAATTTCCCTCTTTCCTACATACTCTAACTTGAGCCTCACTATCCTCGTAAAAAACTCTTCACTGCTTTCAGTAACCTACCTCCTACACCATACACCTGCAACATCTGCCACATTGCCCGCCTATCCACCCTGTCATACGCCTTTTCCAAATCCATAAATGCCACAAAGACCTCTTTAGCCTTATCTAAATACTGTTCACTTATATGTTTCACTGTAAACACCTGGTCCACACACCCCCTACCTTTCCTAAAGCCTCCTTGTTCATCTGCTATCCTATTCTCCGTCTTACTCTTAATTCTTTCAATAATAACTCTAACATACACTTTGCCAGGTATACTCAACAGACTTATCCCCCTATAATTTTTGCACTCTCTTTTATCCCCTTTGCCTTTATACAAAGGAACTATGCATGCTCTCTGCCAATCCCTAGGTACCTTACCCTCTTCCATACATTTATTAAATAATTGCACCAACTACTCCAAAACTATATCCCCACTGCTTTTAACATTTCTATCTTTATCCCATCAATCCCGGCTGCCTTACCCCCTTTCATTTTACCTACTGCCTCACGAACTTCCCCCACACTCACAACTGGCTCTTCCTCACTCCTACAAGATGTTGTTCCTCCTTGCTCTATACACGAAATCACAGCTTCCCTATCTTCATCAACATTTAACAATTCCTCAAAATTTTCCCTCCATCTTCCAATACCTCTAACTCTCCATTTAATAACACTCCTCTCCTATTTTAACTGACAAATCCATTTGTTCTCTAGGCTTTCTTAACTTGTTAATCTCACTCCAAAACTTTTTCTTATTTTCAACAAAATTTGTTGATAACATCTCACCCACTCTCTCATTTGCTCTCTTTTTACATTGCTTCACCACTCTCTTAACCTCTCTCTTTTTCTCCATATACTCTTCCCTCCTTTCATCACTTCTACTTTGTAAAAACTTCTCATATACTAACTTTTTCTCCCTTACTACTCTCTTCACATCATCATTCCACCAATCGCTCCTCTTCCCTCCCGCACCCACTTTCCTGTAACCACAAACTTCTGCTGAACACTCTAACACTACATTTTTAAACCTACCCCATACCTCTTCGATCCCATTGCCTATGCTCTCATTAGCCCATCTATCCTCCAATAGCTGTTTATGTCTTACCCTAACTGCCTCCTCTTTTAGTTTATAAACCTTCACCTCTCTCTTCCCTGATGCTTCTATTCTCCTTGTATCCCATCTACCTTTTACTCTCAGTGTAGCTACAACTAGAAAGTGATCTGATATATCTGTGGCCCCTCTATAAACATGTACATCCTGAAGTTTACTCAACAGTCTTTTATCTACCAATACATAATCCAACAAACTACTGTCATTTCGCTCTACATCATATCTTGTATACTTATTTATCCTCTTTTTCTTAAAATATGTATTACCTATAACTAAACCCTTTTTCTATACAAAGTTCAATCAAAGGGCTCCCATTATCATTTACACCTGGCACCCCAAACTTACCTACCACACCCTCTCTAAAAGTTTCTCCTACTTTAGCATTCAGGTCCCCTACCACAATTACTCTCTCACTTGGTTCAAAAGGCTCCTATACATTCACTTAACATCTCCCAAAATCTCTCTCTCTCCTCTGCATTCCTCTCTTCTCCAGGTGCACACACGCATATTATGACCCACTTCTCGCATCCAACCTTTACTTTAATCCACATAATTCTTGAATTTACACATTCATATTCTCTTTTCTCCTTCCATAACTGATCATTCAACATTACTGCTACCCCTTCCTTTGCTCTAACTCTCTCAGATACTCCAGATTTAATCCCATTTATTTCCCCCCACCGAAACTCCCCTACCCCCTTCAGCTTTGTTTCGCTTAGGGCCAGGACATCCAACTTCTTTTCATTCATAACATCAGCAATCATCTGTTTCTTGTCATCCGCACTACATCCACGCACATTCAAGCATCCCAGTTTTATAAGTTTTCTTCTTCTCTTTTTTAGTAAATGTCTACAGGAGAAGGGGTTACTAGCCCATTGCTCCCGGCATTTTAGTCGCCTCATACGACACGCATGGCTTACGGAGGAAAGATTCTTTTCCACTTCCCCATGGACAATAGAAGAAATAAAGAGGAACAAGAGCTATTTAGAAAAAGGAGAAAAACCTAGATGTATGTATATATATATGCATGTGCGTGTCTGTGAAGTGTGACCAAAGTGTAAGCAGGAGTAGCAAGATATCCCTGTTATTCTAGCGTGTTTATGAGACAGAAAAAGAAACCTGCAATCCTACCATCATGCAAAACAGTTACAGGTTTCTGTTTCACAGTCATCTGGCAGGACGGTAGTACTTCCTGGGTGGTTGCTGTCTACCAAACCTACTACTTATATTATATATATATATATATATATTATATATTATATATATATTATATATATATATATATATATATGTATATATGTATATATATATATATATATTATATATTATATATATAATATATATATATATATATATATATATATATATATATATATATTATATAATTATCCGTATCTTACATGTTTGCTACAAACGTTTACCCAACCCAAAACAAATGAATCAGTTGCTTTCTCTTGTATTTGTAGAGAGTGAGAACTGGGTATTGTTGACCAGAGGAATTCCACACAGCCTCAAGGCAAGAAAAACATTGTGTAAGGAAAGTGGGAGAACGATGGAAAGAAGCAACATGAGGATATTTACACGACATACATAGGAATACTTAGTTCTTTACTTTTCCTATTCCAGCCTCTCATTTTTTCTTTCCCTTCGTCATTCTTTTTTTTTATCTCTTCTCTCTACCTGGAGGGTATTCCGGGGAACAACGCCCCGGCGGCCTGGTCCATAACAATTTCGGTGTTCTACAGAGCTGCTGTTTCGCACACCCACTGTGTATATACGTGGGTTTAATCCTTCAAGCATCTGACATCTGGCGTGAAGAATTTAAGCACTGCCTTAACACTGTGTTTGTTCTCCATTAAGGAAAATATTGGTTGGTTGGTTAATAAGGATACAAGTTTATCGACTACACGAGAGTTAAGATTGCATGTCAC